GACTCCGACTTTATTAGTCCAGTACGCGACTACTCGAACTACTCCATCTTAATCTCCAAAACAACAAAGTGAAAACCGCCATGTTGTTGAATAAGAAAATGTTTCGTTCCTAAAATAGCAATTCCTGCTTTTTTAATACATTAACTTGAAATATTTGACCCTAAACAACACGCGTTAACAATTTTTTTTCGACTGCGAATAAATTATTCTCATTTTACTAAAAAAATTTCAAGAAACTTTTTAACCCTTCTTTAATTTTAAGGGCCATTAGTATTTTTCAAAGTAGAAACAATACATTTATCAATAAAGTTGTTTGCGTTTAACTTTTTTGTGTTGGGTAATGAGTTACAGAGTTGGTTACAGTGTTTCATATAACATCCTCCACACTTAAATACTTTTGTTTTGTTTTCCTTTACTGCCATCTGGCATATGTCTCTAACTAAATCATAAAAATAATATTTTTACTATAATTATCCCAATTTATGATAAAACGCGACTTAGACGCCATATTATTATAGTTTTGTATTTCTGTGAATAAGGATTTTAAACTACGTTGCAGTTTGTATTAAATTAGGCTGCTAGCCAACGTAGGTATCCAACGTCGTTTCGATCCAAAAATTATTCTCCAAACTAGTGCAGATTAGGGTTGGCACGAGGTTGTGCCGACGTTGCGCCCCGACGTTTGATCGCGTGACACAACGTTGTCCCGACGTCCAAATGCTGCTTGGGTGTCATATACTAACACACTAAATTTCGTTCTTTTATCTGAAATAATAAGAAAGTTATAGGGATGAGCCACTTTTGACATAGTCTTAATTGCCAATAGTCCCGAAGAACTACAAACACAAATTGCAACACAATAAAACAAAATGATTTAGAAATATGTGAAAAAGTGCTGTACTTTTATGCCTAGGCGTTAAAATGACTTTTTTATATTGTCAATCACGTCGCAAAAATTGATACTTTTGTGACGGAAAGAAATAGTACGAGTATATAATATGCGTAATTAGGAGTAAAAATTATACTTCTCGTAGCCAGGGTATACCTCGAATACCTCGGATGCAAAATTACAAGCTCAGGATTCCTGGAAGAAGAAGTAAGGAAACAAGCCAATAAAGCTGCCGCAATATCAGGACATCTTAAATATCCCATATGGAAAAATAAACATTTGAGTACAGAATGTAAGTCAAGAATATACAAAATCTGCATACGACCAGTGATGACATATGGTGCGGAAACCAGAGCTGAAACATCAGTAACAAAGAGAATCCTACGAACTACTGAAATGAAGACCTTAAGAATGATATCTGGATACACATTGAGGGACAGACAGAGAAATGTAGACATAAGAGAAAAGTGCCAAACAAACGACGTTGTCAGATGGATAAGGCAGAGAAGAAGAGAATGGAACCAGCATGTCAATAGAATGGGCCCCGACAGAATGGCCATAATAATTCGCAACAACGTACCCCTTGGCAGAAGACCTACTGGACGACCACCTAAACGATGGCAAGTTGGCAGTCAACCTCGCAAGAGTTGCTTAGACGAGGAGGAAACCGGAACTAAACAGGCGCTACGCCTTCTAAAAGAAGAAGAAGAAGAAGTAGCCAGGTTGTTTGACATACAGCCGAAGCACAAAAAGTAATTTTTACTCCAAATAGAATATGCCATTTTTTTCAAACGCCACAAATAAGTTTTTAAACAGTTTCAAACGTTCCAAACAATATAAAAAAATTAAAAGTCATACCTTGTATGTAATTATATATCGAGAAACTATGGTTAAGCTCGTTGAATTTGACACTTTATGTCAGTTTAATAATATATTTTCGTACTTTTATGCTTAGGCGTAAAAGTTCTTTACTTTAATGCCTAGGCGTTAAAATGACTTTTTATATTGCCAATCACGTCGGGAAAATTAATACTTTCGTGACGTTTGAAAAAAATACAATTATTGTACCAATGAATAAAGTAAATATTTTTCAAAATTTATTGAAAAAGCAAACTTTCCGCAGCCCTAGAAGTCGCGCGTTGCAAACTCGAAGGTGGTAATTTTAAAACAACTGTCTCATTTTGACATCACTTGACCTACGTAGTTCGTATATATTTATCGGAGTACACCTCTATCTGTCAATACCTGAAAAACTGTCAAACTCATGCTATAAGTTAAGTTTTGAATGACTTGTAATTTTGAATCTATTTTAAATAAATAATACTACTTTAAATAAAAGTAGAGTTTTAGTGCACTTTATACAGAGTGGCGCACCTCATTGGCCTCGGTTGATTATACGAAAACGAAAAGATGTAGAAACAAAATATTTTATGGGGATATATGGGAAGGTAATGCATAATTTAAAATGATTTTGAAATGTACAGGTTGTGTCAGCACGAAGATTTATACCAAAGTTATATTTTTTCTTATGGAATACCCGGTATTTTATTTCATTTTTGGATTCCTGGATATAAAATAAGGCATTTATTATAAGGGTTTAATATGTTTAAAAGCTTTGGTTTTTGAGATATTTAAAGATATTTAAATATGCATGCCATAATAAAAAAATTTTCAACACCTTGTACATTACTTTTCAGAATTAATTCTTGTGCTGAGTTTTAGGTCAGAGAAACAACACATAAACTTACTAAAAAACTGTATTGCTTCCTAAAATGTATACAGGGGTATCAAAAATTGCTGGTCTATTTTAAGTATTTATTTTATACAAAAACTTTGTCATTTCAAATGTAACACTATGTATTTTTTTAAATAAGTCGAAGCAGATTTAAATGCTCTTTCAAACTATATTAGGATTTCCTATACCTATCTGGCTCAGATTTTGAATAAAAAGCGATTTTTCAATAAAATTGTTATCAAGATGGCTGGTGTCGCCATGGCAATTTTCTAGTAACACTTATCTTATGAACTTTATTTAAATTTATATAACCAGGTTATTTTTATTTAGTTTACCTACAATAAAGTTAATAATTAAGTATTTATTATTTTATCAAGAAAAATGAAGCAGTATCTGCTGGCGGAAGGAATGGATATGTTACTAATGATTTTATTTTGTGAGAACACACAAACATTTTGTGAGGACACATATTTTATGTGGCCTGAAGGGTTTATACTCAAAGATGTACAAATAGGAATTTTCTTGACAAGCGTTCCTTAAAAAACTACTTTTTCTATTTCGCAGAGCTGATGTATAAGTGTGGTATATGAAAAATCCATTAGGCAGAAACCTCTCATTGGGAGTGAAGAAAATGAATTTGCTTTAATTGGTTCTTTTATAGAAAATCCCATATAACTACAAGACATCGTAATATAAATCAAAAAGAACTACTTCTTTATTTTTCTTGATAAAATAATAAATACTTACTTATTAAACTATTGTAGGTAAACTAAATAAAAGTAAACTGTTATAAATTTAAATAAAGTCCATAAACAAATGTCGATTTTCAAAATAGTTACTAAGTGTCACTAGCAAATTTCCATGGCGACACCAGCCTTCTTGATTGCCATTTTATTAAAAAATCACTTTTTATTCAAAATCTGAGCTAGGTAGGAATACAAAACCCTAATATAGTTTCAAAGAGCATTTTAATTTGCTTCGACTTATTTAAAAAATACATAGTGTTGCGTTTGAAATAACGAAGTTTTTATGTAAAATAAATATTTAAAATAGACCAGCAATTTTTGATACCCCTGTATACATTTTAGAAAGCAATAAAATTTTCTAGTAAAGTTTATTTCTCTGGCTTCAAAGCTAGCACAAGAATTAACTCTGAAAGTTAATGTACAGGGTGTTGACAAACTTTTTTATTATAGCATGCATATTTAAAAATCTTTAAATATCTCAAAAACCAAAGCATTTAAACATATTAAACCCTTATAATAAATGCGTTATTTTATGCCCAAGAATCCAAAAATAAAATAAAATACCTGGTGTTCCATAAGAAAAAAATATAACTTTGGTATGGATCTTAGTTCTGGCACACCCTGTACATTTCAAAATAATTTTAAATTATGCACATTGCCCCACAATTGCACCCATAAAATATTTTGTTTCTACATCTTTCCGGTTTCGTATAATCAACTGAGGCGAATGAGGTGCGCTACCCTGGATATCTATAAACCCCCCAAGAAACAAAGCAGTGGTGTCAGAAGTGGGATAGATATATAAACTCGTAAAATTGCAACACAGAAACGAAATCTACGAACTGCAACGCAACCTCGTCAAACTTCGTGCTCAAATACAATTTCATCGCCACGTTGGTAAGTCTGCTGTTTATAAATGTTGTTCAACATGGCTCAAGTAACACCAGAATTACTCCAACAACTATCGGGATGAGTTGTCAATGCCATACGACAGTACCAAATACCTGGTCCAATAGAACAAACGTCATCAGCACAGCCTGGACCACCCCAATTCTCCATGCATATCGCGCTGCCGACGGAACTTCAATCACGGACTACTTTACACGGTTCACCTGGGCGCTCAATCTGAGTAAAGTCACTGAAGAACAACATGCTCATTATGTAAGTATCTATATGGGTTCTGAGCTCAACGATGCCTTAAAGATCCTTGTCAGTCCTGAAGATCCAGAATCTTTAAAATGTTCACAAATTCAAGCTAAAATTAATTCGTGCAAAAAAGTATAAATACGATTCCTTAAAGATCCTTGTCAGTCCTCAAGATCCAGAATCTTTAACATGTTCTCAAATTCAAGCTAAAATTTAATTCGTGCGAATCGCTTCAATAAAAAGAATCTTAGATCGCCCATCACTAGTCCGCGACGCGCGGAGGGCGCACAAAATCCAATCGCCCATACCGACTCGTCGAGAGATCAAGGTCTCGACCGTGACCTACCCGTTCCTCCTCTGCTTCTTCCGTTCTCGGTTTCTCGTAACCCTAATTTCTACGGCCGTCTTCCACTCTGGTCCATCCATATGACACACTTCCCCGGCCGGTGGTAGAGCTTCTAGGCTCGATCGTATAAAACGATCCCTCTACTTTTTCCATCTTCATTTTAGCCGCTAGTTTGGCCACGTGCTTTTAGTACCAACCGTAACATTCTGAAGTTGGTACCTAATTTTTTTTTCAATATACATATATTGATTTTTTGCTTGGTATATTGATTGAATATACGAAAGGGTGCCAAAATGAACTGTCAAGTGATATGTGCAGTGTTCCTTATTTCGGTGGCTGTTGTCGCTGCTGGACCTGTTGTAGATGACCATAAAGCATCACATGCCAATGCGGTAGGTTTTTCGATTTAACAAAAAATAGTTATTTTTTATATAAGACGATAATGCAATTTTATCGTCGTGTATAAAACAATATTTTTTCCATAGCGAGTTACGTTTTAAAAAATATTCAGAAATTATTATTTCAAGGAATTTATTACGAGTAGAAAAAATATTGTGCTGGGTTGGCGTTGGTTTCTATGTAATTTGACAAATAAATAAAGCTCTCTCTTTAGTTGTCAGTTTTGAATCAATATTTTTTAATTCTCTTTCGTGTCAATTGCTGATTGAATTGAAGCCAGAAATGGCTCAAAATGAAATAAGTAAATTACCAACAATGCCATATCCAAACTACTTCCATTTAAATCCCGAATAACTTATGAAAAGGAATACAAAAATTTTCAAAAATGGAAGCAATTAAAAAACGTGCGAGAAGAAATAAAGTTTTTAATCTATCCTCGCTGTTATAGTAGCATTTAATCTACCCTTGCGGTTAAAATACTATTTTATCTACTATTTTTGATAGATATAAGGCAAATTTAACGGTTGCTATGGAAAAAAGCTATTAATACAATACTTCACTCAAAATAACGTGTAAGTATTTGGGTATAAAGCAGATTTTTTGCAGAAATATCATTAATGTTCAATCCTGAATATTTGTTAATTCTTAGTTTTTTAATTTTAATCTATCTAAAATCTAAAAGAATTACTAAAAAAGTTTCAAAAAATTCCAAATTTTCGAAAGTTTTTTTCGTAGAAAAATCTCTATCGTGTTTCTGCATTCGAAATATACTACCCCTAATAATATTTGGACTTATTTAAGACTCACCCTATATAATCAAGTCGGTATGAAAACAAAAAGTAAAAATAAAATCTCTACAAAAATAAGCAAGAAAAATAGTTATTAATTCAAGAATAAAAACATATATCTGCACTGCCTTTTGAAAAGATTAAACTGTTACTAACAAAACTTATACCTAAAGCAGTTTGGTTTCAATATAATTTAATCTCTTGAAAATATTCACTGTAATATTTACTAATAAATCAATTATAATGATCTGCTGATGTTGCTAACATGCCTAATGAAGGATGCATACCTTGTTCAAAGTAAAGGGTTTTGGTGTATTGTGATGAATTAGTGATTAATTTTAATAAATATTAAAACCTCCAAAATTAGGAAGTAGGACAGGAATTGACTATATATTTGGTATAATGTCATCATTAGTATAAACTCATGTGTAAAAGTATCGAATGTTTTTTAATTTTTTTCATAATAAATTTTTGTAATCTAGTCATTTATACATTTACTATGAAACACAATTCATTTCTTAAAAATCTTTACTATGGAAAGCAGTTTAATTTTTAGAGTATTTAAGATAAAAGTAATTGTCAGAAATATAAGCATTATAAAAATGAATATGCTTACTTAATGCTTGTAATCTTCTCGACATACGACTATGTCGAGTTTGGAAATTGAAGCTCTTGTGCCGTATAGGGAACAGGATTTTTTCTAGTATTTTTATGTTATCATCTTACATCGAGTTAGTTAGTCACCATACTAGTCCAATTAACCAAACCAAATAACACCAACAAATTCAACATTAATGTAAACAACATTACCATCAGTTAACATTTAAAGTTATTATCTACAATTACTATTCAATAATTTTTTTATAACTTTAATTCGTAAAAATAAAAAATAATAACATAAAGTCAAATTTGGAGTTATTACATTATTATGAAACATTTTTATTGCATTTCGTTCGTTAGGCTAATTTGTATAGAAGTAAAGAACCGCTCAGAGATTAGTCATAGATGCGAAATAATTAGTCATTTTCAAGAAATAAACCCGTCAAAAAAACAATGGCATTTAATACTGACGTTATTTTGCTCCGAATTTTGTACCATCTCTTTTAAAAAAGAAGATTTGGATCTCTATCAAAATTAGCAATTCTAAATTTTAATCATTATACCAAACTTCCCTATGAAACAAATAAAGTAAGAATATAAAAAATATCTAAGATATATATTGTATAACATCTGTAATTATTTATTAAAAAATATTCCTAGAAAATCAAGCTTTCCTGGAACAGCTTTCAATACTATTTAATCATACTTTATGTGAAAAATTATATGCAAATGAATAATATTTTAAATTTAAACTTGATTTGGATAAATGTATATTGGATATCTGCTAATTTACACAGTCATGTTCAACAAACCGTTCCTATCTGTAAGAGTGCACCTGCTAGGCAATAATAAGAAGTAGAAAATAGTATTAACAATAATTACAACCTGTAATATTAAAATTATAACTATTCTAATACCGCTATAAACCTAGAATTTTCATCTTAAATACCAGTTTTCTCAAATAAGTAGCTTACACACTTTTATTTTATGAAATCCGCATATAAAAAAAATTTAACACTTCTTGTAAAAAACTCTTTATACAGGGTGTCCCATTTAACATGGATACAAGCCAATATCTTAGTTGTTTGTTGAGCGATCTTTTTCATTTTTGGCAGGAGGCTGTATGGCTATAAGACGTACGTTTTGCCCAGGGTAAGAAATGCGATACCTCATAGAGGTACGTTTTAATGGGGTTTGATATTTTTCGAGTCAAGAGTAAACTACCTTTAGGACAGTATTTATTTCAAATCTGATAAATTATATTGAATCCTCCTTACCTAAGGTACTTAAATTCTAATTTTTATAAATATTGATAAAGGGTGTGTCATTAAAATAAGACATTTTTATTTTTATTATTATATTTTTAAGTACTTACGACGCCACTGGATAAACAACTGGTTTATCATCAATAACCAATTATCAATTAATAATCGATTTAAGTTTGGTCGAAGATGGTCGAAGATGAGTTTTAGTTCGTTACAGTTTTATAAATCTTTGTTTAGAGCATATTTTTCAAAGTTAATAGTGATTGTTTTAAATAACTAATTTGGATTTTTTTAAATATTCCTTAATAAAACGAATAAAAATCGTATTTCAGATCCCATTGAAAACTGGGGTTTTAAATTATTTTGTAACTCATTTTATTCATTTGTATTAGCAAACTTAAAAAAAAATGAAAATATTTAGTTTTTTGTATCGTATCTTAATTATTATAGAAGCTATCTGAAAACTTAAATCGATTATAATTGATAATTGGTTATAATTGGTTATTGATAATAAACCAGTTGTTTATCCAGTGGCGTCGTAAGTACTTAAAAAATAATAATAAAAATAAAAGTGTCGTCTTTTAATAACACACCCTGTATCAATATTTATCAAAATTAGAACTTAAGTATCTTGGGTAAGGAGGATTCAATATAATTTATCAGATTTTAAATAAATACTGTCCTAAGGGTAGTTTACTCTTGACTCGAAAAATATCAAACCCCATTAAAAGGTACGTCTATGAGGTATCGCATTTCTTACTCTGGGCAAAATGTACGTCTTAGCCATACAGCCTCCTGATGCCAAAAATGAAAAAGATCGCTCAACAAACAACCAAGATTTTGGCTTGTATCCATCTTAAGTGGGACACCTTGTATATATTTTATTATTTCAAATTGAAATTTGAATTTTATTTTATTTATTTATTAATGTGTGGGTGCATGGAAATTATTGTTCTTATTCATTATTATTCATTAGTATTATTCATTAATTATTCTTCTGTGATAGAATTTTAAATAGAGTATGTCCCCGAATTTTCTTTACAAGAGAGAAAAAAATTATTATTGACATTTTCAGGTAAATGTATGCTTCTTAAATATTTTTGCTTGTTTTAAAATGGCCAATCCTGTTTATAATTTTCCAAATTTCCATACCGTTTTAGAGAAAGTAAAAAAAACTCAAAATATAGTTTAATATGTTTTTTTAAGTCCATGGATATATATTATTTCGATTTCATTCTTTGATAGATGGTTATTATTAATCTGGATTAACGTCATATATACTTTTTAGAAGTAGTAATACAGTAGAACTTCATTTTTATTTCTAGAATTTTTAGATAATTTTGTAGAGATGTATATTCATGTTTATTTTATTTTCCCTAAGCGGTATAGAAATTTGCAAAAGTATAAACTGGATTAACCATTTTAGAACAAGCAAAAAATTTTATGAAGAATATATTTTTCCAAAAATGTCAATAATTAAGAAATGTTCCTCTTGTAAAGGCAATCCAGGAATATACTGTATAAATATTAAATTGAAACTTTATATTCCTTTGATATCCAATGTGTAGAATTTTTCCTTTATTTAATAACTATTAACTCCAAATCTTGAAACTTTACTGTTTTTACATTCAATAAGCTAATTATTCATTTTTGTTACCTAATTGTAATCTTGAACTTGAACTAGACAAGTCAATATCATTGTATCATCAAGTATTTACACAATTAGTACCAATGAAAAAACTTGTCCTCCTAATGACTTCTGTGAAATTTTAAACATTCAGGTTAACCTCAATTTTTGTATCACACACGGCTGTTTAAATGTGGGAACGCGAGAATTAGAAGCTGCACCCACAGTAGTAGAATTAAATACAATGAATTATTTGAATAGCACACTTTGATTAAACAGAGATATGCAAAGTGAAATTGGATACACTGTTTCATTTCTTTATTTAAATTTAACAATAAAATAAACAAGTTAAAATCTTGTGAATAGTCTATAAGAAATTAATATAATTTGATTTCTCAAATATCTAATATTCCAGTTAGTTTTAATATCCTAAATAGTTTGACTACAATAACATTTTTGATAAATGATTATTATTATGTGAATATTTGAGTAAAACTATTAGCTCTATTTTCAAATACAAGTCAAATAATAAGAATTACAAATCATATTCGTACTATTTATAAATGTTTATTTTAAGCAAAAGACTGACAATGCTATTTGTATAATGTTTTGTATTCTCTTTTGTTTGTTTGTTTACTTCGTTTGTTTACTTTACCTTTGTCTACAAATTTAAAATAATTTTGACAATAAAGGTATTTATTTATTATTTATTA